GCCTCACTCCAAATTCTTCCACAAGCAACATAAATGGAATCTAACACCATGGTTAGACTCGTCTCATCCCTCTGATCACAGTCATAGCCATTATGAAGGCTAATTATTCATGAAACAAAAAACCCTAAAACCAAATACAAAACCCTAGCAATGGTGACTCACGATATAGGACATATAAATGAAATTGGCTATTGTAAAAATCTTGCAAATGATATGACGATCAAGAATATGCCATCAATTCATGTTAACAAGGCCTAAATTTCAAAATATGAAATCAAGAACAGGGCGGGTTCGTGAGTGACTTACAGCGCGTGGGAGAGCTTGAAAACGTGTGGTTTTGCTTGCCTTAGATTCCTGAGATTGCCAGGAAGAGATTGAGACACGTACCAAGCCTTTAGGATGCCTCTAAGCCCTGTTTCGATCTCACACTTTTTTGGTATTTTTTCAGATTTTTCTTTCACTCAATGCTTGATCTCCAACCTTCTTTTTGATATCCCTCTCCTCCTTATGTATTGTACAATGTATTAGGGTTGCAAATTCATTCCAAATCCCTCTCCATTCATGACTTTGATATTTGATTTGATTCCTTTTAACAACCTTCCAAATTTGGCCTAAATCCAATCTCCTTGTACACAATTGCCTTGATACGATTTTGATTGCCTTGCTAGCTGTAATTAGAGCCTGAAACAATCACAAAATCCTTGTTATCAATGCTTTTGGATTTTATTTGATTTAATTTGATTTAATTCAAATTAATTCAAATAAAAATCAAAATAATTAATAAAAACATGATATGGACAAATGGACAAGTCTAGAGCATGTGGGATATAATGCCAACTCAAAACAAGTGAAAAAGAATGGGCCCATTTGACAAAATTTGATGTTTTGGGCATAGTTGACTTTTGGCAATTTTGCAAAAAAGTCCAACTTCAACAATGCATAACTTCCTAAATTTTGACTCTTTGGAGGTGTTATTGGACTTTTTAGAAAGCTTGAGATGTACTATAAGCAACCCTTTTGGTCTCATCTCAATTTGATATTCCATGCTCAAGTATGAAGCTTTGACAAAAAAATGTGTTTTTGTTGACTTTTCAAAATGACCTATAATGTACAAATTCATAACTTCTTGTGAGTGCATATTTTGAACTTGGGATATGAAGATGGATTGTAGGGAATTGCATACTCTTCAAAATGAGCTTTGGATGGGTCATTTCTCATAAAGTATGAGAAAGTTATGCTTGGTAAAAGTTGAGTTGACTTTTCCTACAAAACCCTAATTTAACAACTTTTGAGTCTTGATGAATTATGAGCAATCCTTGATGAATCATGATCAAACCTGGATCAAATGATGAAATATACTTCAAAATGAGGATGTTGGCAAAAAATCTTGAAGTTTGACTGTATGGGGGTCACAGTTGACTTTTTCCCTAGCACAGTCGATTTTTCGACCTTTGAGCAATTGACTGATCAAACTTCCTCTGCAAGGCTTGAAACTTGACATGGATGAGATTGAGAACATATTAGGACATTGGTGAGCACTTGGGGTCACTTGGACTCAAGGATCTTGATGCAACATGAAACCCTAATTTGAGTAGATTGCTTTAGGAGAGAGCTTGTCTGGCCAACCCTTGGACTATCTTGAGCAACTTGGAGATTTTTCTTGCAATGTTTTGAGAAATATGAGAGGGAAAATTTTGAGGTACAACATTATGTTTTTCACACATAATTATCTTTTTGATTATGAAAAAAAGGGGAGTAAATAACTGAAATAATTTTGATTCTAATAATCAAATTCTCTTAAATAAGCTACTTACATTCTAACCAAGATAAACTCTTGTTTCTGTTAGAATTATTTTATTTTTTAGGAATCATGAACTCTGATTGAAATCAAAATCTGAAAGTGTTAAACAAATATTTTTTGTCTAATGTTTAGAAACCAGACTCTAAGAATTTGGGAATCAGACTCTGAGAAATTCAAGCTCACTTTTGAAATCAGAATCTGAAAAGATTAAGGTCATAATCAGACATTGTGAAAACTGGAATCAGTTTTTATTAGCTCTGAGGACTCAAGATCTCAATTGACATAATTGGTATCAAGATTCAAGACTTTCAAGATCTAAATATCTTATCTATTGCAACCAGGGGAAGTTACCCAGACGGTTCATAAGCAGGATATCTAATATTCACCTAGTCTTAGATTCAGGGGGAGTTTTCACATAAAGAAAAAGCATTTCTTACCCTTCCTTTTTTGATACTTTTTCTGATTATGTACAAAATTGTATCATCAAAATACATAATTTTATCATCATCAAAGAGGGAGAGATTATTAGAATAAGATTTGGTTCTGCAATTATATCTCTAAGTTTTGATGATAACAAAGAGTATGTTTGTATGAACAATTTTGATACTCTAACGTTTATTATTTTGAATATTTAACAAACAGGTTCAGCTTTGATGAAAGGCATTGCCAAAGCATTAGAAGAGACCAAGTTCCGTTTTTGCGTTACACAAGTTTTGATGAACAATAGCAAACCGCTTCAGAAGGCTCTGAAGTTGTGACTCTGATACGCGGTCTAAGAAATCAAGTTCTGAAGACCAAGTGCTGAAGACTCTGAAGACGAAGTTTTGAAGACTCTGATGACGAAGTTTTGAAGACTTATATTTCTGAAGACAAAGGGATCTGAAGATCAAGTGCTGAAGATTCTGAAGACACAGTTCTGAAGACCCAAGCTTATTTTCTTTCTTCTACTCATGCTCAGTCAGAAACCTCTGAAGATCAGAAGATAACGTAACGTTGTACAATAGTACATGGTACAAACAAATATTCCATTCCACTACCATGAAAGGATGGACGCGTCACACGATCTTGTCCCCCAAGTTATATCAAGCTGCCAGCTTTCGGGAAATTTTACAAATACCCTCTAATGGTTATAATATTTTATTGGCTATACAAAGGCTTGAAGACCAAAGAAACAAGCTTCTAATTCACGTTCTCACAAGACTGTTCATAAGCTTGTTATTTTCTAAAATCTATATTCTAAATTTACTGTTTACTATCAGCTTATGTAAAAGCAAATATATTGTAAACAAAATCTTATTCAAACTGTTGTTTGATAGTGCCTTAAGGGACCAGTTGGTCAGAATCCTTAAGAATTTTAAGATTTGTGTGTCTTAGAGGTTGTTTTTGAGTCACTTGCAGTTAGCTTGTGCATTGTAATAATCTGTGAGATTATTAGATTAAGACCTTGTTTGATAAGGCAAAATCACTTTGGCGGGTGGACTTTAGCTTGATATTTTTTAAGTGAACTAGGATAAAAATATCTTGTTATTTCCTTCTTGCATTTTTATTGTTATTATCAATAGTGAAGAAAAACTATTTCTGTGTTAAAATAAAATATTTTCTAAATAAATATTTTTGATTTAAAATCACGGAAACATGTGTGTATTTGTCTCTATAAAATTCAGATGGTCCATTAGTTGCTCTTAAATCACTTGTAATAATAAAGAGTGTATATGACACCACAAGTTCAACCAAAATCTCCATACTTCACTTGCATGGGTCATTTCTTTAGTATCATTTTTATCTAATCCATTCTTTAGTAAGACTTCAAATTGAATCACATATTAATATTCACCATTGTAAAGAAGCCTTGCCGAGTACAACCAAGTCAACACAGAGCCAGGTGCCCAGTGACATGACTCCGCGTTGATAAAAGCGGACAAACAGACACGTGTCTGTGTGCACGCTAGTAAATAATAGATGAATTGGCTTATATTTTTTGATTGCACATTTTTTAGGACCAAATATAGAAGAACTAATAGCATGAAGTTTTCTCTTTCTGTTCTTCAATAGCGTCAGAAATCACGAGTAACAAGCCATGACATTGGAGGAAAAAATCCATAGAGAAGATAATCTTTGCAGATGAAAAAGTTGTTAGTCCTTCTCAAGTAATTGAAAAAGAGGTACTTCAAGCTTTATTTCACTCTTTTTTTCCTGCAAACCAGACACCTATTAAGCCATTATTCTCTACTAAGTTTCGGCGAAGTGTTAATCGATCATAATTCTCCCTTTAGAACTGAGAAATGTATAATTTGATTAATATACTAACCAATACTACATTTTATCAGGCAAAAAATCTTTCAACAGATAAGGATCGCAGATCGTCACGAAGAAGTCTAAACGAGAAGTTAGCAAAAGTCCTCCTTGATTCTCCTGTTGAAGTAGAGTCTGGTGAAGATTTAGACCAAGAAGTGTCTAGTGAAGCTATTAATCCTACAGATGCAACATTGCAGGAACCTTTGCATCCACTAACCTGTGTTCAAGAAGAGCAAGTGCCGCGTGTTTCCATTTCAAAGATATCGAAAGAGCATGAGAATGTTCAGAAAGAATTGGAGGAGAAGTTGAGGGAAGCAAATAAAAGGATTGATGAGTTAACTGATAAGAATGCTTCCTTAACTAATGCTTTATTCTTCAAAGAGGAATCTGTCGCAGAGATACTTCGATGTAAACAAGAAGCAGATGCTGAGTTTAAGACGCTGAGGCTAAAACATACGAGATTAACAAAGCATTAGAAGTTCATCATGACATGTATTCAATGGATGATTTTGTTGAGATGGAGAAAAGAGCTATAGTTTCGGTTGATTACTCCGAAAGGAGGAAGATACTTATCTGATGTAACTAGAAGGGAGATAGTATCGGTTGAACAAGATTGCGGCCTTGGCGAGAGGAATAAAAAACCATTCGATTGGCTTCAAATTGTTTTAAACGCCATGTTGGAGGAGAAACGCATATCGAAACAAAGTCTTGATGAACTATTTGATGACATGAAAATTGCCATCGGGTGTATAAATCAATCAACTGCTTGCAAATTTGATATAACCCAAAAGTCAACGCATCCTGGATAATCTGATTCTTTTCATGTTAAAGGTTTCAGTGGTTTTATTGAAGCAATTCATAGAATCATCAAGCTCATTGAAGGAATTGCTCCAAACTCTTTTATATGCAACAATGGTCCAGATTGCTTGGAAGAGAAGCAAAATTCAGACGTATGTCTCAATCACCTAAATCCAAATATTACTTTGTTCATGTTTTATGGAAGGTTTCAGACTTGAATCCACTTTTGCATCAACTTGTTCACACCTGCAAAAATTTATTAACAGGGATAGCCGATTTCGAAAACTTTGTCGAGGAAGTTGCATTTGCTTTGGAATGGAGCATTAACAATTGTGCTAACACCACAAATGCTTCAATCGCAAGGGATAAGCTAAAGAAACACTTAAACTCTTTTCTATCAGTAAATGAAAATCAAAACGATGTTGGTGATAAACAATCTTTTCGAACACCTTCAGTTGCATATCCAGCTGATTGGTCTGATGAGAGTAGTCGGTATGATTTCGTTGAAAAAATGAGAAATGGCAAATGCGAAGTGGAAAAGATGTATCAAACTGTAAGAAATTTGCATGCTCTATTTTGCGAACAGTTATCATGGACTCCTAATAGTAATAGATATTTATGCATGTTGCTATCACCCTATGTCATATCAATTGTCGGTATTATCAGTTTCATTTATATTTCCGTTTGAAATTAACACTTACTCATCAAATCTCAATGAAAAAATCAGGGCTGGGAGATCACGACAGCTTAGTTTTAGACAAGGTTGCCTCCACAACTTGTTTTATGGGCATTCCATCTCAAAAGAACTTGATCAAACGATCTTCACTGCGGAACCATATGCTAGCTAAGGATGATGTCAAAAATGAAAGAAAGTGAAAGTGGTGAAGATGCACAGAGATCTCTGCTAGTTGAATCTGAAAAAGAAAGTGGTTTGCAAACTCCTTGTGTCATGGTTAAAGGGTCGGAGCAAAATGATAGAAGCAATGGCACAAGAAATCTAGCAATTGTAGCGCATAGGAAATATGGAGGTTTTGATTTTCTGAGGAGACTGTTTACAAGAAGAAAGAAAGGGAGGAGTAAAGGAAGAAAATTATTAGGCAAGGCATGATTGAGAAGGGAAATAAGTTGAAGCCATTCTATGAGAGGTTGTGTTACAGATAGTATTTGCTTTGTTGAGTTTTCATATTAGACGCATTCATAAATATATGTGTACTAAGTTTGGTTTATAATACAGTTCTTGTGGGATGCCGAAAATATAACAAAAGAAATCATCCATCAGTTATTACCACTTGCTTATGTTGTGCTATGAAGTACTATCAACATTGAACACCAAATAGCCACTACATTGTACCTCAAATTCATTAACAGGCGAATGTTTGGTTCACCATCACGTTTAATCTAGAAACTTCAATTCATTGCTCCTTTGGCATGTGATATTGAGGTACAAAACTCATTATCAAAACATACACTAAATGTTTGGTTGAGCTACACCTAAAGAAAACATTCTGTACACCACTCTTTGATGATAAAAAACGAGTAAAAAGAGAGGCTAGCACATTTGCTTAGCTTCAGACAATTGCAACTAATGCCACTTCAAAATCATCGATAATAACTAGAAAATGTCGTATATGATTGTAAGCAATGTGCATTTGTTCAGTTTAAGAGTATGATTTCAATATAATATTCAGGTCCTGTTTCATAGTTTGGATTGATTAAAGAAAAAATAGAATGAAATCAGACGCCATTGTAAAGATCACACTTATATGATTCTTATTATAAGATATAGAAGAATAAATAAAAAAGTTACTAAAACAACAACCGAAAACACTTTCCTCCGAAATAAATAAAAAAAATTAACGGTAAGATTTCTGGAACCTTGCACGAGCACCACGCCCACCAAACTTCTTGGGCTCACAACGCCTAGGATCAGCCACAAGCAAAGTTCTATCATAACTACAAAGGAGATCCTTGATCTCCTTTTTGCTCTGCTCATCCACATACTTCTGGTAGAAAGCAACAAGCGCCTTAGCAATGCTCTGCCTGATGGCGTAAATCTGAGAGGTGTGACCACCTCCCTTAACACGGATGCGCATGTCCACTCCGGCGAATCGGCTCTTCCCCAACAAGAGGATTGGTTCGAAGGCCTTGAAGCGAAGGATCTCTGGCTGGACCAACTCGATGGGGGCGCCGTTGATCTTGATCAAGCCACGGCCGCGCTTGCAGTAGGTGACGGCGACGGCGTTCTTCTTGCGGCCGAAACATTGGACTTGCTCGAGCTTCTCCATGGTGGCTTCTGAATAAACTAAACCCTAATTCTGCGAAACAGAGAACTTATATGAGAATAGGGCTTTGGGTTTTCTGTGTTATTTACCCTAATTGTGTTATTTATATATTGACTTTGATCAATTTTAAGAATAAATAAATTGTGTAATTATTTTAAGAAAATTACTACCTATTTACAATGTGTAAGGTATGGAGTCAAATTAAATTAGTTTATAAGATAAAATAATAATAAATACAACACAAATTATTGTTTGATTCGTTATTTAGATTTTAACAATTTTTTATTGATATTAGCAAAAAAAAATTTGTATGCTTCACTTTTTTTTTTAATAAATATTTATAATATGAGAAATTCTTGTGGTAGCGTACATAAAATCTTTTCTTAACACAGTTAATAGAAACAAGACAAATCATTATGAATATGAGAGAGAAAATTTTAAATTTATTTTAATTTTAACTTTTTTTTAATTGGATTTATGGGTGGTTGTGATTATGAAAGAGAGAGAACATTTCAAATTTATTTTTTAATTAATTATAAATTTATTATTGATCGTGTGTAAAATTTTTTTTTATGCTCTTGTCTACGTAAGAATTTTTCTTATAATATTATATATTTTTGTTAAATTTTAAAAAAATATTTGAATTCAAAGTTATTTTGAATATTTTTATAAAAGTTATTTTAAAGTTATATTTTTTAAGATTTATGTGATTTTAATTTTTTAAAACTATTAAAAATTAATATTATGTTACCAGATGTAGGGTGAGAGGTGCCATTTTATATAAATTCTTTAGAGACTCTATCTCTAACCAATATGAAACTTGAGATTTTTTCAATACATCTCTTCTTCCAACACTATTGGGCCTCATGCGTGAATATAACATTGGTCTTCGTGCGTTAATATATATGGTGGATGCTTCATGATTTAATTGTAGGCTTTGATATTCTTCCGTTTAGGAACCAGAAATTGATGTTTCGACTTCTCAAAGGAACTAGGACTGAAGATTGTTGGATAACTGTTGTTCTTGAACAGTGGTTATGATCTCCTTTACGGTGGCACAAGGTGGACCTACATGGTTACCTCTTCAACGCTCGAGTTAGTTCAAGATTCAAGATGAGTATAGTCAAATTGGAGATCAAAGATTGTGTACCTTTTCATAATGTGTGAATTGTTTCATATGTTGGGTCGAGTAGAGTGGGCTTTTAATGGATTAGACCTTGGTCGATTGGCCATTTTGGCCGGTCCAAAACATTTTCCCCATGGCTTTCTCAGACGTTAAAGAAGTCGGGAAAAGCCTTAAGTAATTTATATTGGCCTTTAAGACGGGGTCTGGTGTGAAATGGAATTGGAATACTCTGAATTTTGTTAAAATGGTAGTGGGGATTAAGAGCATTAAAGGATTTTCAGTCTTAAGAACGCTTAGATACTGCTACCATTAGGTCAGCCTAATAATCTTGTCTAGGGAATGTTTTCCCTATTTAGGGCACTTAAGTGTCTTTGTCATTAAGCACTGTGTTGGTTGCCCGTGGATTGATATTTTACTCTAATATGAGACGTTAGGTTTTGATATGCTTCGTACATAAATTTTTGGATTTGTTTCCTAGTCTTCATTTGGCTCATTTGTGATTGTCTTTTTGCGTCATCGAATATCCTCTCCTTTGTTTAATCTAACCATTTGTATTGTGATTCTCTTTCCTCTTATCCAGGTATGTTGTCGAAGTTTCTTCTTTTTGTCATTTACATGGTTCGTCTTTATTGTCGACCTTCCACCGCTAACTCATTAAATATATTCATATGGAGAGGTGAAGATATTATTGATATAGCCGCTAGTCATGATTTAGATTATTCATGAACAAACCCTCGCTATTTAGGGGTCCTTTCAAAGCATGTCGTAAAGGAAGGGAAAATAGAGGTTCCCTTTGAAGTTGGGTTTTCTTAGGACTGGAAACTTTTGGTGATAATTGTAGTTAAAAGAGTATGCCATATGTTTGAGGGGTTTAAAGGGTATACCATATGTTCGAGGGGTGCTTCATCCCTTTTTACTCTTGCATCTTATATAAGTTAGGAGTATGGCTTCCTGTGACTACTTTTGAAAAGGGGGTACTGGATCATCTTTGCATTCCCTCATTGCAGCTTCATCCCAGTGCCTGGGCTTTTGCACAGTTTTTCCAATATTGGTCTGAGTATCAAGGAAAATGTATTTGGCTTCCGTAAATCTCTTCTTCCATCTTTTGAAATTAATTGACTTTTCTAGAGAAAAGGAAGTGGACTTATTTCTATCCACCATTTTAAAAACGATATTATTTCGCATTTATATTGATAGTTGGAAGTGCTTCAAAGAGCATTATTTTTTGGTTCCCCTTCCATTCCTCTCGCCCATAATGAATTTTGCATTGTTCCTTTTTCTTCTTCGGCCCTGTCGGTATGTTCATAGCAAATGAGGCGATTTTGGTCCTCAGCTCACTTCATTTGAAAATCTAAGGATTACTACATTCCTCATGAAACCCTCATCGATGTAGAAAAGGAGATAAATGAGACATTGCTTTCCCTTTTCAATTTAGAAATATGTTTCCATGACATTGTTGAGGCAATGTTTATGGAGGAGATGGAGAGACTTTTTAGTATCGTATATTCTCTTATTATTTTGAAATAAGTGTCTTTGATTATTACCTTATTGTTTAAACATGCGCTTTCTATAGATAATTTCAAAAATAAAGATCTAGCGGTTGGCAGCGTAGCTCTTATGTTTGATTTTGGGGCTCCCGTAATTACTTATACGTCTTCGAAAAGTCAAAGTAAGAAGAACCATCTTCGTCCTGCTAATAGAGGTTAGGGTAAAGCATTCAAACAAAGGAGTCCTGCTAAGAAGAAAAAGCTAAATTGTTCTTGCTCTGTGTCAAGCATTCATTTGGAGGATACTATGATCCCCTTGCCCTCCGTGATAGTAGGTCATTTGCCATGAGTTGTAGCAAATATGAAAGAGTGTGTGTTGGTTAACAATTGTAAGCATATTTGTCAACTCTCCTATGTTGAAAAATTAAGTTTGTTGGCTGAATCAGCCTATCATGTCCTCTGGACAGTTCCTCTTTTGAATTAGCTAGCAGTCGAGCATATCGATCTTTTGTTTCCTTGTTCTCCATCTCAAGGGATTAAGGGCTCGAAAGCTCGTTATGAATTGGTTAAGGCGAAGGTGGCTATCTTCAAAAGGGAATGTTCTGATTTGTGCAGTCGTTTGAGTGTAGTTTCTCCTTTTCTGGATGAAGTGTGTAACGCTTGAGACTGACAAGGACGGAAAGTGTTTTCAAATGCACAAGGCATGACAATGAGCGGCTGGTGGCAGCTTCTATGCAAAACCAGATTCACATTGAAAGGAGAGGGATTCTGAGGTTATGCATGTATGGGACTACATGTTGAAGGAAGGCTTATAAGGATTGATTGGTACTACCTATACAAACAAGATGCACCTTCTTTTTGGTAACCTAACAAATAAGAACTTCATAGTTAAGTGTGCTTGACATGGAGTAGTATTTAGATGAGTGGCCTTCTTGGAAGTTTTTCGAAAAACGTGTAAGTGAGTACATAGCATGTTGAAAAGACTTGTGTTAGCTTGGGGGTTAGTCAGTAATCCTAAAAGCAGACTGGACATTACAAATGGTATTAGAGAATACCTATTCCAAGATGATTCGATTTGGGGAAGAACCAAGTAGAAGCTAGTGGGCATGTAACACATGAGGCCAACAAGGGTGGGAAGTGGTTGCTAGTGCATAAGGCATGACAATGAGCGGCTCGTGGCAACTTCTAGGCGAAAATTGAATTCACATCAAAA